CACTTTACAGATGAGGAAACTGAAGCTCAGTGGGGACAAAGCACTTGCTTAGGTCACACAATGAATCTGTCGTAGGACTACAGCCAAATATCAGTCTCCAACTGACCAGGCCAGTGCCTTACATATGTCATCACTCCATGGGAGTTGAGCCTGCTGGAATGATCCACAAAGGAGGGTCACCAGAGACCTAGCCCACGGGGCAGGTCTGGGGCCCGAGGAATAGTATGCAGGGGTTTCAATTGATAAACCAGAAATCTGCTCTGAGGTCAGCTAAATTCCTAACAGCCTTGGGGAATCTAGGGTGGGGTGACAGCCACAGCTCCACATTCTGGAACTATTACCACAAGACTGTTTTAATCTAAAACCAGACCTACTGACACCTGAAGAAGCTATGTATTAACATAGGAATGTTGAAAACATATCTCGTGACCTGAACCTAGGATGCAATCAAAACCAATCCCTAACTATGCAACACTATGTAACAAATAGAAAAACTGATGCACTGATTAAGGGACTGTCTTTTCCCTGGATTGAATGTCCCCCCCAACCTTGACCCCCACTGTGACAATGTTAAGAGGGTGGGAGATCCTATTATGGCAATTGAAAGGCGGGACCTTGAAGAGGTGATTAGCTTGTAGGACCAGGACGTAGTGAATGGATTAAAAATGGTGGTCAGGGGCGTGGTTCTGAGGGCTTTAAAAAGAGAGTGAATGAGGAAGTTATTCTCTCTCTCTCTCTCTGCCACACCACTTTGCAATGTGATACCCTGCTGTCACTGAAGGCACCACCAAGAAAAGCCCTCACCAGATGTGTTTCCTGGACTTTGGACTTCCTAGCCTCTGAAACTGTACAGAATAAACTTCATTTTCTTGTAAATTACCCAGTTCCATGTATTTTGTTATGAGCAACAGAAATGCATTAATACAGTCTCCTTTCTCCCCTTTGTTCTTCACTTTTTTTTAAAGAAATTTATTTATTTATTTTTAAGATGACTGGTAAGGGGATCTTAACCCTTGACTTGGTGTTGTCAGCACCAGGCTCTCCCAAGTGAGCCATGGGCCGGCCCTAAAGAAATTTTTTTTTTTTTTAATTGAAACATATTGATTGTACATATTTATGGGTACAGTGTTATACTTCAATAAATGTATACAATGAGTGATGATCAAAGCAGTAATTAGCATATTCATCATCACAAGGGCCGAGCCCGTGGCGCACTCGGGAGAGTGAGGCACTGGGAGAGCAGCAGTGCCCCCGCCGTGGGTTCGGATCCTATATAGGGATGACCGGTGCACTCACAGCGCTCACTGGCTGAGTGCCGTGCGGCCGGTCTCAAAAAGGACAAAACAAACAAACAAACAACAAAAAAAACATCATCACAAAACTTTATCATTTATTTGTGATGAGAACATTTCATCTCTCTTCTAGCCATTTGGGAACGTAGAATAAATTATTGCTCATTTATAGATGCCTACCACTACCGTATAGCACTAGAACTTACTTTTCCTCTCTAGCTGTAATTTTGTGTCCATTCACCACCCTCTCTCTATTGCTCCTCCCTCCCCACTTCTTAGCCTCTAGTAACCACAATTCTACTCTCTACTTCTAAAAGTAGGTTTTATTTTTTCAATTTATTATTATTTTTTTAGCTCCCACACATGTGTGTGAACAGGCTTTCTGTGCCTGGCTTATTTTGTCAGAGTGAGAAGGACTGAACCCATGTTGGGACCTAAAACCACACGGGCTCTAAAAAATTTTAAAAGGACAGAGTTTTTTTTTCTTGGCATGCATTTCTCTGAGTTCCCTCTTTTTCCGTGGTAATTTGATATTTTGAACCTTGGTTTTGGGGCAAGATGACATTATTTACATGAATGTAAAGTGGTTTTCCAGCCAGCTAGAAGCTGCAGACTTGCCAAGAGTCATGTACTATCCAGACCCTGAGATAACAGTAAAGATGGGAAAAGAAACCAGAATCTTGGGAGGACCTTGCACCCGGCTCCTTGCTCAGAGCCCCCACAGCTCACATCTCCCTGCCTCCTGCTTTTCATTTCCCACATTCCATTCCCTCAGACACCCACCCACCCACCCACCTACTGCTTTAAAAGCCTCTCAGTAAATCTGAGTTTTCGAGATGGCTTTAGTCTGACCATTCTCCCTCAGGCTTACTGGAGAGATGGGATAGCCTAACATCTCTCTTTTCAGGTTACCAGTATTCCTGAATAAAAGCTGACTTCCATTTTCACCAACATCTGGCTTTTGAGTGGTTCATTTATGAAAGCAGGCAGGCAGCCAGGCCTATGCCTGCTATCAGTTTCACTTAACATAATGTCTTCCAGGCTCCTCTATGTTGCCCCAAATGACAGAATTTCATTTCTTTTCATGGCTGCATAGTATTCCATTGTGTATATATACCATTCATCTGTTGATGGACACCTAGGTTGATTCCACATCTTGGCTATTGTGAATAGTGCTGCAATAAATACAGATATCTCTTTGGTATGCTAACTTCCTTTACTATGGATAAATACCCAGCAGTGGGTATTTATCTTCACTTTTCTGTGATTATAAAAATGTTGAAGTTCTGCTGGCCCTTGAGAAAGCAGTTCCCAAGACAACTTGGTGGTGTTTTCCTGGGCCATGTTCACACATATTAAGCTCAAATAAATTCCAATACTTTATCAGTGCCTCAGATTCTTTTCTCAGGTCTACACAGTCCTGCCACTCTCCAAGCAGCTGGGGTGGGCAGAGGGGAGGGCAGTCCCAGCACACCTGAAAGGCAGGACATCTGCAGAGGGAGGACACCTTTATCCCAAAGCCAGTGACTTACTTTCCAAATAGTAACCGTTCAGGGTCTTTTCTGAAACATTTGCCTCAAAGCATAGATGAGATGATGTATTAGTCCATTTCTGTTGCTTATAACAAAAGACGCCTACCTGGGTAATTTGTAAAAAAATCAAATTTATTCCTTAAGTTTCAGAGGCTGTGAACCCCAAAGTACAGGGAACACATCTGGTGAGGGTCTTGATGGTGGCAACAGTGACCCAGGGGTTTCGCATGGCAGAAAACGGTGGAGCAGAGAGAGAACTTCTCATGTCCTCTCCTTTTAAAGCCCTCAGAACCATGCCCCTGACCACCATTAAGCCATCAACTTCATCACCTCTTCAAGGTCCCACCTTTCAATTGCCATAATAGGATTTCTCACCTTTTTAACATTGTCACAGTGGGGACCAAGCCTCCAACACATTAAACTTTGGGGGAGGGGGACACAATTCAATCCACTGCAGATGGTCACACCCAGAGAGGCATCCAGACAGGCATGGATTGATGAACTGACAAAGATCTGCTGTATCTGAAATAGTGCCTGTAGGAGCTGCCTACTGATTCCTGTGCAGATTCAGTGTGTACACAGGCTGCACTGAAGGCAGGAGAGATGAGAGATTGTCAGAGACTCTTTAAATGCAGATTTCTGAGCCCTACCCAGACCTACTAGGTCAAATCCCAGGAGAGGACTCCAGGAATCTGCTCCCCCAGGTGCCTGAGAGGCAGAGTCTGGGCTGAGAACTTCACCCTGATTCTCGCTGGCACCCTGGGGCGGTCTCTGACCACACCAAAATGGCTTGGGCTGCAACCGAGCAGAATAAGCGCGCAGTAGGTCAAAGCCGGGTTTAGACTCCGTCTGCACACATACTGGGAAAGTTACCATCTACTCTTGGGGCCTCAGTTTCCCCATCTGTAAAATAGGGGTCAACGACATGCCACTTTGCACAGTGATGGTGTAAGTGAAGAACGTGGCCCCACTGGGTGCTTGGCACAGTGTCACAGGTGGGTCTCAATCTCCCTCTCCTACTCAGGTACAGCAATCACAGCGCAGGTCTCCTCAGTTTGAAATGATCGTTGTTCTGTCTGTCTCACCCCCAGACCCTCATAAGCGTATCATCTTCCTTCTTTCTTCAGACTTGAGAAGTAGAGAAAATGGCCCTACAGCTGCTGATATGACGTCTTCAGCAGAAAGACTAAAATGCCTGTTGTGGGGGGGTGGGGGGAGAAAACAACTTACGAAGAGGTTGTCTAGTTCCTCTAGTGGTAAGTTCATTCTAAGGCAGAAGGGACGGTCACGGGAATGTGGTTGATGAGGACAGGGAGTGGGGGCGGGGAGGGGACAGGCAGAGAGATGGAGGCCCTGGGGGTGAAGACAGACGGGCAGATGCGGGGTGTAGGGCAGGCACAGGCAGGGAGAGGTCCGGCCGCGACCTCCCCCCGCAGCACCCCTGCCGTCGGTGCCCTTCAGCCCGGGCGGCCCGACGTGCCCCTCCTTCCAGAGAAGGGGAAAGCAGAGGGATGGGGCCGGCCCGGGGGGCGGGCCGGCGCCGACCCGTGTCCTGCGGTGCCCCGCCCCGTCCCGCCCCGTCCCGCCCCGTCCC